TGACAAATAGGTGTAGAAGTTCACAGTAAAGATGAGTTGGGAGAAGGCAAGTCAATTGTATAAGGACAATTGGGCAAGCGGTTCAACTAGAGAAGACCTCCAAGGTCCCTTCAACTCTATGATTCTATCAGAAGCCTTGTTCCTGATATCTTTTTTCTACCTAGAGAAGTTCTTCTTTTGAGTACTTGAGGAGGGGACTATTTTGCTAAGCCACATCCACTGACAGCCCATTTGGGGGGCAGGGTTGGCTAGACAACCACAAGTTCACATTTGCTGGTAGCTTAAATTCTACAGCTGCTTTTATAGGCATTCCACCTCTCTTCTTTTTTCTGTAGTGTATTTAGCAACTATCAGCCAGTCTTTTGCAGCTTCATATGAAATGGGACAGTGTGATAGCATGAAATGAAGCTTGAGCAAATGATCTTGGGAAAATGTTTCTTTGAGTGGATTGGTGATACAATGGAAGTGGTTAATGGTTTTTTGGATTTTTTTTTAATGAAATGCAGCTCTTTTGAATACTCCTTCCTAGACATAGAAAATGAGTATGTTAGGAAAGGCTGATCTTTGGTGAGGTGAGTCTTTAGTCAGAAGGACTGATGGTTTGGGGATTTGGGAAAAGAAAAAGTTTGAATTTTGAGATGTTACTGTGCTCTAAAGCAGGTCAAGCTGGGGTCAGCGTTAGCAACTCCTTTGCAGTTTGTGAGCAACCTTTTTCAAAGCACAGAAAGATAAGTGCCACAGCAAATTTGCTCGACCCGTGCCTTCTTTCTTCCCCGGCTGTGGAGCTGGGGAGGGGAGACCCTGAAGCTTCTTTTGTCTGAAGGGATCGATAATAATAGCATGACTCAGCTCTTCCGCCCCAAGATTTCCAAATGGGCATTACCTCATCAAATGCTCCCAGGCATCTAACTGAGGAACAGGAAATGGGTTGAATCATTCAATTCACAGAGCTCTTTTGTTGACAGTAGAAAGTGTTAATGGGAGTAGAGTTCAGTTGCCTTTTGTTCATCCCTCCCCTTTCCCTTTCTAATAAGATTCGATTGGGTTGGGCTTTTAAAAGCCTTACTCATAGTATGTAGAATGATTGTGAATGTATGCGTTCCTTCTTACAAATAAAGTCATTAAAACACATTGAATTGATGTGGCCACTGCTCTTCTGGTATATCTAGGTATCCTTTGCTGGTTGTCACTGGCTTTTAAAGCAAGGAGTTACTGGAATGCCTACTTTAGCTCTTTGTTTCAGCTGGATTTTCCCTGCTTCTGCTGCCATACAAGCAATATCATCATGTAACAGCAGCAGCCAACTAGCCGTAATACAGTGCAAATAAATGCTTAAATGGACAAATCATTGGGCAGTTAAATTTATTTCAGACAAAGGTGGCGTTCAAGAGCGTGAGCCTGACCCCACTGCAGCCAGTGATTTGGCTATCTGGCCAGTGAGTTGAGATTGGGGCCCTGAAACAGAAATTTGCAATTTCTTTCCTTGGAACAGTTCATGTCCCATCTCCCACCACACTTACTTCTGTCTGTCATTGCTGTTACCCTTCGGTCAACCTCCAACCTTCTCAGCTACCAAGTACCCCATGTCAGATAATAACAACCAACCAAAAGTCAACTAGAAAAGTGATACGAACCTAACTAACCCCACATTGTTTCCCCACCATTCTCATAATGGAACAATTCCAACATAAGTTGTTTTCTTGACTTTTCAGTGCTTGTTTCCTGGAAAGGGGATTGCACTGAATATGCTATGACTTACCTTTCAGTAAATGTCTTTTGGCTTGTAAATTCAAGCTTTGTGTTGCCCATTTTCCTTTGTCTTGTTTCAAAAAAGCATGCTTAGAATTGCAGACTAAGTACAATGTAATTCCCATGGTTTCGATGTGCCAACACAGACTTAATTTACATTGTAAAATCTTAAAATAAGTCTGGTTCTTTGACAGAGTTATGTTTATCTTATTTTAATAGTATATTATGTTTTTCCATTTTTTTTTTACTGCCTGGCCCAAAATAGTAAGAAAGAGCCGAGTACAGAAAAGTACAGAAGAGCAAAATCTGTGCTCATCCTGTCCCTGTCAGACCTATAGGCATTGTACGGACCCTGGCCAGATTTCAAAGATCAGTGCAACTAGCAATAGCAATAGCACTTAGACTTATATACCGCTTCACAGTGCTTTACAGCCCTCTCTAAGCAGTTTAGAGTCAGTATATTTCCCCCAACAACCTGGGTGCTCATTTTACCAGCCTTGGAAGGATGGAAGTCTGAATTAACTTGAGCTGCTGGCAGCCAGCAGTCAGCAGAAGTAGCTTGCAGTACTGCATTCTAACCATTGCGCCACCACAACTAGCTCTGAAAGTCCACTGACGGTCAGGTTAGACCTGTTTACTTGGACCAGCTAGGGACCAGCTCATGGTAAGCCTGATGTGGAATGAGGAGAGCCTAAGAGAGAGGGAGAGGGAGAGAGAGGGGGGGCACCTGTCATTTCCTAATAGAAATGCTTAGGTAACAAAGGATATCCATGAAGCTGTCAACTAGCTTTAGACTTACTTTACAAAACAAAACAAAACAAAATATAGCAACATTCAGAGGAAGTAAGTAAAAAGAGAACTGAGGTGCAGTCCCTGTTTAGGAAAGGCTTTATCTTACATTGGGTTTTAAGAGCTTGATTAACATTGCATTTATAATTTCTAATTATTGTAATTAAGCAAATTGAATTTCCTATCAACCTTAAAGCAAATTCACACTAATATTGTAGTTTATGAAGTAAGTTTTATCTGTTCCTTTTTCTTCTACAAGAAAGTTATGACCCAACAGTGATTACCTTTAGCAAAAGACATTGCATATGCATTGTACTGTGAACTAACTCTAACCTGTATTGGCTTTATGTATGAAGAGCAACTGAATAAAATTAATGGGAAAGAATCTTGGAAAATATTGTTCATTCTTCTGGTAAGAACACATATGCTGCATAAAGTGACACAAATTAAAGGAATATGTATTAAAAATAGTATTTTCAATATCTCCAAAGCAATGAAAGTTATTCAGCAAATGGAAATATTTGTGTCTATATTTGTTCTAAACATTCTTTAGTACTAAAGTATCATTTTCCTACAGAATTTGAACAGGTTCTGGGAACATTGCAGTTTTATTTACTCAGAGTACTAGCAATGAATCAGCAATGAGTGGAATGACAGTGATAATTGGAAGCTCATGACTTGTTTAGCCCAGCAGCAACAAACCCATAGAAATAGGATTCCGTATTTCAACTTAAAAAAAAAAAGAGGCACTTGGAGAGGTTACAAATGGTGCTATGTGAGTGAGCACTGACAGCTGCGTAGGCATCTGTCTCTTCCCATGGAACATCTTATGCTTTCTCAGCTCTTTTTGTTGAGGTCATGCTGGGTATATGGGCATTTCTGATCAATCATCTTGTTCTGTGTTCTCTCCCTTAATTTAATCCCCATTACTGGAACTTGGCAGCATAACCAGCCTTATTTGGAAGAGGGCATTCATTCAGTCACTTTGAATGACTTTGGGGTTGGACGTATTCTTAATATAATTTGCTCTTGCGTTTGGACATTTTATGCTACTGACAGATATTCTTATCAGAATGGCTTGTGGCAGCAGGAACGTGCTATATACAGATTTAAGAAGCCTGGTACCTCCATGTTTTGAGGTAACAGGAAATGTGCATTGCTAGTTATGTCAGTCACCAAGTTGATCACGGATGCCTATAGAAAAGAAAGTTGTAAGACGTCTGGCAACAACACTCGCCCTAAGTATCAGTAATGGTTAAAATTAGTTCATAATCAAGTTTAGTTTAGCAGTGGTATTCTTAATAATCTCCCAAGTTTAACATTATTTCATTCTTAAATATATGCCTGTATAGTTCAGTTCAGTTCAGTTATTTATTTATTTATCAAATGTATATGCCACTCATCTTGAGGTGCGTATACTAAATACGGTTATGTAGTATCATGATTTACTATATCTTGTAGTCCTGGAGAAAAAAAAAGAAAAAAAGCCTCACAAAGTCTGTCCCCAGATTCTCCATCTACAACATTCATATGTAATGGGCTAATGAATGCTTTGCTGAATTAATTTGAGCTATGCCTTCCCTCTGTTCTGCACCTTGTACTACCATTACCTTCAGAAAACATGGAAATGTTTTTCAGAATTGCCTTCCCTTCCTTATGAATTGCTGGGGGCACATTTTCAGTATCTGTATCGTTTTTCTTTTCTTCCAGGTAGAATAAAATTTGCTGGTTTTGTTTTTAAAAAGGCTTGAACAAGTTTGGCTATATATATGTGTGTGTGTTTGTGTGTGTGTTTGTGTGTGTGTGTATGTATGTATATGTACATATATATATATTGCAGTATTTTATGATCAACTATAAATATTCTTCCCATTTGTATCTTTCATATGTCACATTTAAAGCAGATGGCGTAGAAAGAGTTCCTTCAACAGCTTCATGATTATAATGTAGACCATTCAGTGTATATATGAGTATGTATGTGCACATGCCTTTGAGTTAGTGTTGACTCCTGGCAACTGCCTCAACAAGTCCCTGCAATTTTCTTGGCAAAATTTCAAAAGTGGTTTGTCATTGCCTGCTTTTTAGAGCCAAAAGAGAGTGACTGGGACAAAGTTACCCAGGTTTTGTGCCTAAAGTGAGACTAAAACTCACAGTCTTCTGGTTCTCGACTACACCAAACTGACTGTAGGCCATGCAGATCAAGGACCAAATTAACATTGGGACAGAACTGACATTAGGTCAGGATCAGGACCATTTATGCTATTTTCAATAAACTTTCAGAACCATGGAGTAATTCAATGGAGCAATTCAACCATGGACCAATGGCAACATGTTTCTTCATTCATGGCTAATAAAATTAAAGTCATGACATGGTTGAAAAGGGTCAATACCAACACGCCAAATCGAAATCCCTACTGTCAGAAGGTTCTTAATAATTTCTGGTTTATTATTTAAAAATTTAGATCTAAAAAACTCAAGAAGCCCACGTCCTCACCTGCTCAAGAAGATAAAACCAAGTTAACAATTTTTCATGGAGAAGTGGATTTGGGAGAAGAACTATTCGGTACATTTGAAGATTTTTCATCCCCCAGCAACAAGAAGATATTGGCAGTCAAAGAAGGTATTAATGAATATTCAAGTTTCTTGTTATATACTCTACAGCAGTGGTGGCGAGCCTATGGTACGGGTGCCAGAGGTGGCACTCAGAGCCTTCTCTGTGGGCACGCGTGCCGTCGCCCCAGTCCTAGGCCTTCAGCTGGGTTTTATAAAACCTTTTCACTTTAGGCCTCCGCCGCCGTGTGCAAAAAAAAAAAGGTTCAATCAATCAGTCAATTTCAACTTCTCACGGGAAAAAAAAATCTTGCAAAGTTGGAATTGATTGATTGAACTTTTTAGTCCCACCCAGTCTGCCGTTACCACCGCAGCCACGCCCACCCAATGGGCACGCCCACCCAATGGTCACGCCCAGCCAATGGGCTACGCCTAGCCAGTGGGCTACGCCCAGCCAATGGGCCACACCAACCTGGCACCCGACGATGCATAAGTGGTTTTGGGTTGCAGTTTGGGCACTCGGTCTTTAAAAGGTTCGCCATCACTGCTCTATAGGATTAAAAAAAAGTGTCATAAACCATGGAATCTTTGGTTGTAAAACTCTATCTTGGATTCTGGAGATAGTTACTTAATTCCTTAACTAGTTTTTTTAGCTAGGTTTATTTATTGCATTTCTATCATGTATTTTCTCTGACAGATCAAATCAGCATCTTGGATCCTCCTCCCCCCTCCCCCAACATCTTATCCTCACATCCGTAACCAAAAGTCTCATAGTGAACCTCCATGGCCAAGAGAGAGTTTGAACTCAGCACTTGTTCAACGTGTTAACTATTACTATTATATAAGTCCTTCATGCATAATGTTTAAAAATACTGAGATAATTTAAAGAAAGAAAACAATACTTGCATCCCATCTGTAAGATACACAGTATCTGCTTAACTTTTCAGCTTACTGTGTAAAACTGGAATGGGCCATTGGTTATGCTTGGTTAAGCTAATTCTCTTAACCCTAACTAATTCTCTTGGTTAGAGAATTGTAATGCAATAATATTTCAAAGCTTCCTCCAAGCCTGGTATAAACTATGCTTCATTTAGTATACCTAGTGAATAAAATAATTCTACGTTTAAAAAGGAATAAAGATCACTTTTTTCTGTTTCCTATGCAGAAGTGAATTGGTATAATAAAATATTTTCTCTCCAAAATAGTTTGGCAGTGGAAGTTAATGATACAACTTAGTATAATTCAGGATTCGTGGCAAGGTGACATAGATCAATTGAATCTGATATTCCCCACTTTGCAGATCTCTTTATTCTTCTATGTGGGCGGGGCCTACTTGAAACTGGATCGTGTGAAATTAGTTCTGTGGTTTTTGCCCACCCAACTCAACTCAGCCATGGTGGCTTAGTGGTTAGAATGCAGTTTTGCAGGCTAATTCTGCTGACTGCCAGCAGTTCGATTCTCACCAGCTCAAGGTGGACTCAGCCTCCATCCTTCTGAGGTCGGTAAAATGAGGACCCAGATTGTTGGGGGCAATACGTTGACTGTGTAGAACCACTTAGAGAGGGTTGTAAAGCACTGTGAAGTGGTGTATAAGTCTAAGTGCCATTGCTATTTAGGCTATAGTTGCTGTTTATCACTGTATTTTAGCCTGATTTTGTCTGTCTTTTGTTTAAATGTTAGATGTGAAATTATTTGAAGGACCAGATCTTGGTGGAATGGTAACTCTTGGAGATCCACTGCTTTTGCTGACAGCCAGTGAAGACAGAGAACCTGTGTTAAATGTTAGTCCAGCTGAAGACATAGAGGAACTATTGAGGTATTCATCTGAATTGCATGATAAATTTAGTGTTGTGTGCTTATGATCTCTCTCCTCAAGCTTGTCTGCCTCAAGCAGCCCAAGATTAGAAGACAACTTCTAGCTTTAGCCTACTAAGGTCCCACTGTTTTCAAAATTGGGATTGTATAAATAAATGTGAATGGGTATGGATTTTAGCAATAGTTATTTCCTCCATTCTTGTAGTTCTTCAGTTATTCTTATTATCATGTTTTTCTCTTCTTGTCTTCCATCCATCCTTCTCCTAGGCATTTCCTCAGAGCCAAAAGGAATTGTGTACAATAGTCAAGAGTTAATCATTTAAATCAGTAAACAGGTGCTGCAACCAGGAAAGTTCAGAGCTGGCAGGAATCTGACTGCCTGAACGGAGTGCCAACTCATCTCCTCTCTGAAGTGGTACCTATTTATCTATTCACATACAACATGCTTTTGAACTGTTCAGTGTTTCTCAACCTTGACAATTTTAAGGCATGTGGACTTCAACTCCCAGAATTCCACAGCCAGCAATGCTGGCTGTGGAATTCTGGGAGTTGAAGTCCACATGCCTTAAAATTGACAAGGTTGAGAAACACTGTGTTAGGTGGATAGAAACTGAGGCAAGTAATGGGAGCTCACTTGACAGGTTAGGACTTGAGTGGCTGGAGCAGAGACCGTCTCCAATTTCATTAAGCTACTGAGTCTCCACACCTCTACACTGGTATCTGAAATATATAGAGATTGAACAGTAATTTGGGACTCTAAATATTTATGAAGTCATATAAATTCTTACATTTTGATAAAGAAAATATTTCATACAGGTATAAACCAAACACTTTTGATCAGTTACTTTTCTAGCAGTTCTTTGCTTTCTTAAAAAAAAAAACCCATTAGATTACTTACAGACTGAATTATTCCTAAAACACATCCATTGAAATCAATTGGATAAATTAATCACAACTAATTGATGCCTTACTGATTTCAAGGAATCTGCTGATAATTTGACTTAAGACTGGATCTCACCAATAGTATAATCTACATTACAGTTTCAATTCACTGAGCTATGCTGCACATTTAACTAGAGTTCTTTGAAATTCTGTAGAATCACTTACCACCAACTCTAGGGAGGTACTTGCATTTAAATTTGGGGGGGGGGGTTTGTGAGAATAGAAGTGAGGCTGTTAGAAACATTTTAGAGTTTTAATAACCTGTTCATAATGGAAAGAAGAAGAAAAACACTCTGTTGCATAAGGTCTTTTGGAAACATGATTCTTCTTCATTGTTTATAATGGAACATTTTGTAATAACATGTCGTATCAGAGACACCTACCTTAGTTTGCTCAGAGGAAAATGCTAATGCTTTTTTATGTTTAAGAGCACATCTGATCTTTTAAGGCATGATGTCTCCAAGGTATAACTCTATTTTAGTTGAATTATATAGCTGGGAAATATATACACTCATATACATGATTACCATCTCATCCCTCAGGACTGGCTTTCGCTATTTTTACACAATGTGTACTTTTGATATTTTTACTTGAAATGGCCCTAGCTGGCAGTGTGTGGCCAAGTTTGCCTGTTTGGGATTCATCAGACATACATAGCCACAAATCTTTCTAGGACACTCAAAATTCTATTGAGAATTGGACTCATGATTATGTGTAGTGCATTAGTTTTTATGAGCCCTCAAGGTGCTGGTATTTAGCAGTGTTACTGGAAGGGATATATGGAGACTCTGTTTAGAATTGTATATAAAGTCTACTTCTTCCTTTTCTTAAATCCTCAATTGTTTTGGCAAGATTTCAAAAGTGGTTTGCCATTGCCGCTTTCTTCCTAGGGCTGAGAGAGAGTGATTGGCAGAAAGTTGGTTGCCCTGTTGGCTTTGTGCCTAAGAAGTGACTAGAACTCACCTTCTCCCAGGTTCTAGCTTGGTGCCTTAACCACTACACCATCTGGCTCTCATTCATCAATTTAGATATATTTGTAGAGGACAGTGCTATCAGTGGTTAGTAGTTATAATAGCTATAAAATATTTCCAGAAGCGCAAGCAGAAGCACATCTCTGAACATTAGATGCTCAAATTCCACAACTATGGAGGGTCGTGTTCTTTTGTTCAGTTGTGGATTTCCTGCATGCCTCTACTTCGGTCCTTACAGGAAACTGGGTAATGGACCTTCTGGTTTTCTAATCCTGGGTCTTCTAGCATGGTGTCCACAGATACTTTGATGCCCATCATGCTCCTTGACTCTGCAGATTACAGATTCAGCTCAAACATGAAAAGCCATGGTCTCTGCAGAAGTAAAATGTCTGGAAGAGGGTTTTGACAATCCAAGACATTTAGAGGGCACCTGTTGGGAGAACTGGAAATTCAATCTTAGCTTACCTCAGAAAATTACTTCTACACAGGAGACCATTAACTGATTAAAGATAAACCCAACAGATCTTCTGGCCTTGTTCAGACATCGCTTGACACCAGAAGACAATAATTCTAAAGTATATTAACTTCATTTTAAACTTTTCCTTGTATCCTTTACTCAAATTCCGGTTTCTACCTCAGTCCTATTTAAGAAATGCTGCCTTGTGTGATAGAGATCATGGATTCAAAGTAGGGATTAATTTAATTTTCAGTTTACTATCTTAGCAGGAAATCATACTTTAACTGAATCTGGCTTTTTTCCGACTGATGTTTTCTTGACAACTGCAATTATCATAATCATTGGGTTTGTAATTTCAAACATTTTTTGCAGGATTAATGTTCAAGCCAGGGACTTGAGTGGAGCCTTCATCCCCCAATCTTGCTTCCATAATGATATCTGTGTTAAATTTTGCCTTGCCTGTTATCATATGACATTTAGCAATTACAAAGGAAGCATGGCAAGGATTCAGAAAACTAGCATGGCTAGTTTGAACATAATCTGCAAGAGCACAACAAATCTCAATCTCTTTTTAAAGTACAGCCAACAATTTTTCAGGAATCAGAGCTACAAACATAATTGATTTGATAGGTCAACTTGACCACTATTGGTATAGGCCAGTGAGGAACCTTTTACAACCTTTTCTCACAATTCTGAACAAGTTCCTCAGCATTCTTTAATTTTCACTGCCTTCTCTCTCATCAGAGAAACACAAGCAGATGCCAGGAAATATGGTAGCCTTGAAAGGTTGATTAAATAAATGAACAAACAGCATAGCTCTTGTATTACAAATAGATGCCTGCTTTAGAAAGAATTCCAGTAGAGAAGATTATAATGTCAAGTCACTATAGAAGTAAGAAGAGAATTATACTTTCTGAAATCACTCTTACTGTAAGGCCCACTTACAATATGCTATTTTTCTGCTCTGGGAACACAGGACTTTTTGTGAATGGTTTAACTACCAAGAAATATCAGGACACCTTTGATATAAAAGCCATCAAAGCCAGATAAATATTCAGTGAATGAGAGAACTGTAGCAATTCAGAATGAAGATGAAATTGCAGAATTGATCAAAATCTTCACTCATGGAGAATAAGTGTATCAGTAAAATTACAGTCTTCTTCTGACAAGACAGGACCTGCTAGAAAAGTGAGCCTAGTCTTATTAAGTCAGAAGGATATTCTGTTTTTGTTGAAAAACGCCTTCTCTTTAAAGTGGAAAGATTGGTGGGGAGAGAACGGTAAGCCTACTGCCTATAGCAGAGGTCCCCAATCTTTTGGGTACCAGGGACCGGTTCCGTGGAGAAAGGTTTTTCCATGAATGGAGAGTGTGTGGTTTTGTGTGCTGCCTGCATCCCACAGATGGGGCTTTGCTTGTTTGTACGGACCGGTTGCTGGCATGCCGCGGCCCAGTACCGGTCCACGGACTGGGGGTTGGGGACCCCTGGCCTGTAGCACCTTCACCTGGTCTCATTGATCGAGCAGATATAGGTCATTCTTGGCTTACGATTGGTCACTTAGCAAATGCTCAAAAGTTGTGACAGACCTCCCCGGTGCTACTTACAACCCCGATTCAAGGTTCTAATGACTCTATCCCCTGTCTTCTATGGTCACGTGATCACATTTTGGGTATTTGGCAACCGGCCATACATGACCACGATTTGCAATGTTTTTTTTTTGTTGGAAATTGGTGTTTATTTCCAGTTTCTGGTAAAAACACCCACTTCAGACAATGGATTCACTTAATGTCTATTGTGTTCCCTTAATGACTATAATAATTCACTTAATGACCACTACAAAAAAGATAAAATTGGGTGTAGTCACATGGTGACGCAACTGGCACGACTTATGATTATAATTCTGGGCTCAATTACTGTCATAAGTCAAGGACTACCTGCAGTATCCATAGTAAGTGTAATGGAATTCTCTGAACCTGAGAACGAGAATGGATGTTTGCAAAATAGTGCAGAACCAGAACAACAGTAGATTCCTTCCTCTTTATCAGGCAAATAAGTAATAATATCTTGCTTCTATCAAAAGGCAGTTAGGAATATGATGAATTAAGGCGCCACCTTAAAAGTACTTGTTAATACAGTAAATGGGGGCTGATATCTGTAATGTCACTCTTTTTTCTTTGTAATCAGTCAGTGGGATAAAATGATAATCTATCTTTCTTAGTTTATGAGCACCCTTGGGGGGCTCAACACTAACATTTTCAACACAGAGAAGTTTCTGTGTTTTGAGACATTTTACATGATTGTTGAGATAATTTCTTGGGGCTTTCATATCAGAAATGCAATTATTTACCAAATGTGTTTTTGTCTCTAAAACAAATACTTTAGATACGGTGGCTTTAGTAGGGATGAATACATATTTTTTTTATTCTACAGAATAGATGTAGTTCCCCATTATAGGATCTCTTTTGGCTGAATAGCACTACATCTGTGGTGTGTTATAGTCTTTGGACCTTACATAGCAATTATCTTGTTTCCATTTTTTCGGCATATTTAGAAGCTATGGATATTTTTCCATTAAGAGCAGGCTGAAGTTAAATCATGATAGTATTACGATAAGATATTCAAACAATGTGTTTCTTTTTTTAAAGTGGATTTAATGTGTTTAGATTTAAAAATAGAACATAGATTTCTTTGTTTAGAAACTTTTAAATAAAAATAGTCCATAGATGTCTGAGCTGCTTATAAATGTCTTTTAAATACAGCTACACATTTTTTCCAGCAGATGACATTGCTTAATATTTTCAGATAGTTGCTATGCTTCATTTGTTTTTTTTTTATTCCATAAAATATAATGACAGTCATACCTTCCAAAGTTGCATTTCTCTTGCCAAAAGCTGAGTCCCCACTTCCATATTGGGCCTGGAGTTTTAAAAATCTCATTCTTTTATAAGATTACCCATTCATCAGGATTTCTGTAGCTAATCCATGCAGAGTTTTCTAAATGCCAGCAGTCAGTAATATAATGTCCGTGTTCATTATGCTTTTTGACATAATTTAATCATTGTGAATAGGTGATGCTTTTTCTTGTCTTAACACAATCACATGTGTTGAGCATAAGACAATGTACAGTACCAAGTACCCTGGTCAACTGTGATGGCGCAATATTTTCACATGGCTGCACAAGCTAAAAATAAAAAAGTACCTGGATATACTCATGGAAAAAATTGTGCTTGGCTGCTGCACTGTCCTTAAGGATGGGCAAAAGAATCAACCTCAACTTAGCCTACATCTCTCTGTTTAGAACAGGATGGTCAGTCTGATAGCCAGGGTCACATTCAACCTCAGGGACTCCCTTTTTTTAATGACCCCTAAAAGTTAGCAGCATAGTTTTCTGCCATTTGGAGATGGAATATACAGAAAAGCTTTAATGCAGGGGGCTCCAACCTTGGCCATGCTGGGTGAGAAATTCTGAGAATTGAAGTCCACAAGTCTTAAAGTGGCCAACGTTGGAGATCGCTGCTTTAATATACAGTAAGTTTTGAAATAAGCTGTACATCATTATTTTTTTTTTAAAAAAAGGGGCGGGAATAAAACAAAGTTTGGGAAAGGTCCTGCTTAGGGCCCACTGAGATGTGTTTTCACTTTGCAGCATAGCTGCTCTGAGTGCAGGTCTCTCCCTTTCAAAAGATAGAAAGCTCACGGCCACCAAAACGTTACCCAGCTCTGGTTTAAACAGTTGCCAGGTTTCAGATGCCCAGGAAATCGCTTGGTATTAAGGTCATCTTCTGGTGCAAGTGTTAGGAGGGTGTCCCAAATGTTACAATGTGAAACCTTACAAGGTACAGGAGTTCTTGGGCTTGTGATATCAGGAGGTAGGTGTGGACTGGGAGATGCCTTCCCATGTTGTTTGGGTTTGTCTTGGAAAAGGAAACCCAACCTTTATGCTTCCTTTATTAGAATGATTCCAGGAAGCTACACTTAGGAATATTGGAGAAACTCTTTTCTCATTTTCCTGGTATCCTAAGAGTATACAGGTAGTCCTTGACTTATGACCACAGTTAAGCCCAAAATTTCTCTTGCTGAGACATTTGTTAACTGAGTTTTACCCCGCTTTATGACTTTTCTTGCCACGATTGTTAAGTGAATCACTGCAGTTGGATTGTTAAGTGAATCCGGCTTCCCCATTGACTTTGCTTGTCAAAAGGTTGCAAAAGGGGATCACATGACCCAAGGACACTGCAACTGTCATAAATATGAGTCGGTTGCCAAGTGTCTGAATTTTGATCACGTGACCATGGGGATGCTGCAACGGTCGTAAGTGTGAAAAGACTATTCAAAAAGTGTATATTTTAAAAAAGTGTAGACTATTTAAAAAGTGTATATTAAATCACTTTTTCCAGTACCGTGGTAACTTCAGATGGTCACTAAATGAACTGTTGTAAATTGAGGATTACCTGTACTTGATTACCGCCTGAAGATTAAGTGAGCAGTTTGCATTTGAAACTCCCATGTGCAAAGCAAACGTGGCCCTTCTCCATGTTTGTAATGGGTAGAGAAAGACAGTCATACACTATTATGTTGGACTACTGAAATAAAAAAAAAGCCTTTACTTTCTTTTTTCTTTCAGAGTGGAAGATGATTTTGAAAAAATGTTGCAAGTGAGCTCTAAACCCAAGCTTAAACCCAAGCCCAACATAGCATCTAAGCCAACAATACCTAGGAAGCCAGTGATACCTGAGAAAAAATTGCCATCTTCTCCAACCCAAACGGGACAGCCGGCAGAAGAGAAGATCCAAAATATGGACGAGATGGACATTTTCAAATACATTAAGGAAAATGAATCCCTTAGTAGTGAAGAGCCAAGCCTTTTCTGAAGCACTGCTACTAGTGGGCTTTCCTCAGGAAGGATTTCCATCCGTCACCTGGGTCCTGGATATCTAGCATGCCTTGGACTTGTGTTCTCGGTTGTCCTTTTGATTGGTCCTTTGGCTCCATTGGTTTTGTTTTTTTTAAAAAAAACCCCAATGGAACTGGATATTGGGGTTAGAATTCTGCAAAAAGTTATGAATACATTTTTTTTGCCACAGAGCCTCAATGTTTTAATTAACAATGCCTTGTTTTTAAAAATGCAAAAGACTGTGGCCAGAACTGATTCGATAAAAAGAACATTGCTAACCTTTGAGCAAATGGATTATTTAGCTTGAGAAGTACCAGAGGTCAAAATTAATAAAAGGAACTAACATGGCTGGATTAAATATTGACACTAGGTTGGAATCGTTGTTGTTTAATAGAAGTTATTTATTTCCAGATAGTTTTCAACCTTCTTGGAAAAATATCACTGAAGTTCAAGGAACTTGCATAAAAGCATTTTTCAGAGTCATATTTCTCTTTTAAGGGTTATAATGCACTGAGCCTAGGTCCTTGGGAGCCTGCCTAAGTGCTTCTGTATGAATGGCCTTATTTGTCTCTCAATTTTCTGATCTGATGGTAGGTTTTTGTGATACACTGGAGCCACTGAAATGTCTGCCGAACATGGCAGGGAAAGAATCTGCAAGAGATTCCTGAATAATGATGTGAATGATGGCTGTTTTTAATATCTTTGTAATCTGGGGATAGTCCCATCATCACCGTTAAGAAGGATGCTTCTTTTTGATGTTAAAGACCCTCATTATTGTTTGATAGGAAGAAAAGTATCATTTGTTAGGTGCCAAGCCCCCAATGCTTGTGGCAGAAAATGAACAGCAGCACCTCAGGTTTGATAGCTGAATTATATATGATAGTTGAATTAGATGAGAGTTAATATTATTTGACAGCATACTCTTTTTTATATGAACATCCTATGTTTTTCACTCAGATGACCCAGCCGCAAGAAAGTGAATAAGCCATAAGACTAAATATTTGATAACTCATTAACCTGTCTGAATTCTAGAACTGAGTGAATGCAAAAAGCAATTAAAGCACTTTAAAATATGTACATGTTTAATGCATAGTGTTCCATTTATAATCATATGATGCTTTATTTGAAATAAAATGAAATTATTAAGCACTACTAATACAGTATTAAAAATTTCCCTTGAGAAATAAGTAACAACCGTGACTGAAACAAAATATAAGATGGTGCAATAAAATAAAGAGAAGTTAGTTGTGCAGGATGGGTACTATTTGTTATCTTTTCTCATCTGCAATCAAAATGAACAATTCTCTCCTGTTGAAGGTTGTTATTGTAAGGGGCAGAGTTTTGATGATGAATTGAAGAGAAAAGAAATGCACAGCAAAAGGGTGACCCTACCCACTTGCCCTCTTTTCATCATCCCTTTTTCTATTTCAAACATCCCTTTCTTCCATACCAGCTGTAGCCAACTCTTCTCAAAGGTCTACATTCATCACTTTTCAAGTACTTTTGACATTAGTCCTAAGAGGGTTTTATAACATTGAACCTATTCTAAACAGAACGGTATCCTTAAAAACATTCCCTAATTTAGAAATGTTATATTACATACAGTACAGTACTGGACAAGGGGTACCATGAATATGTTGATGTAGTTTTTCTAAATATAACTGGGTTAGTGCTGAGAAACATCTTGACTGCAGTTGACTTGTGCTTATGGCCAGTTGGGGAAACAAATTGCAAGATGAGAAAGAAGACAAATAGATATAGACAAGAGAGAGCTGTGACCCTGTGGGTTTGGCTGTGCCAAAATGAGGCTCACTTGCTTCTCTGGCCCTATGCTATTACTTGTTTTCCTTTAGGTGGGGAGAATCAAAATCACACCAAATCACAGATAAATGATCCAATAAGAATACAGAATCAAAACTAGAAATGGTTGGTTGCACAAGCATCGTAGAATGTATAGATTTGTGACAATATAATTGGATTTGATCTCCTATGATAATGTTGATATCCTGAAGAATCTTTAAAATTCTGTTTTTCAACAGGATATCTGATTTGTACTTTTTATGTCATTATATCAAAACGTCAAATAGAATTCCACAGATTTTTCTCTTTAGTTTCCTTTTTTGATAATAACTATACAAATCTTTTAAGTGTTTCTATATTTTTTGTAGTTTCTATTGAAGAATTTTAATTTTAAAATAATTACATTCAGGATACAACATATTGTATTTTGTCCTAAATATTTCATTGGAAACTTACATATTTTACATAATAAAGTATATTTCTGTGCTATATTTTGCCTTTGAGAGATGAGCTGGAATAAATACACAATGAAAGTTGTTGAACTAAACTGGAGGAAATAATTCTTTTATTTTAAAAAGAGCTACCCATATTTCCTCGAAAATAAGACCTGGTCTTATTTTTTCCCCCCTCCAAAAGAGGCACCAGGTCTTATTTTCAGGGGATGTCTTTTATATTCACCTCCGGCATGGACAGCCCCACCCAGCCAGTCCCACTTCTTCTGTGACCGAAGAAGCAGCTTCATTCTGGCCTGCATTTTTCAGTCAGGCCTTTCCGGAAGGCCTCTGCAGCCGAGTATCAAGCTATGGATTCAAAGATGCAGGCCTGGCTGCAGAAGATGCTGCAGAAGATGTGGGCCAGCGAGGAGAGGCCTGGCTGCAAGGTAAGTGGGTGCGGGGCACGTGGGGCAGCTCCACCCCCGCTTGATTTTTAGATCTGTGCCTCGCTCCAAAACTAGGGCTTATTTTGGGGGTTGGGCTTATATTAGGCCCACCTCCAAAAATCAAGCTAGGACTTATTTTCGGAGTAGGCCTTACTTTCGGGAAAACACTGTATATAGGATTATGTACTGTGTACAGGTAGTCCTCGACTTATGTTTAATGACTGTTCAAAATTACAGTGGCAATGAAAAAAGTGACTCATGACCAGTTTTCACACTTACAACCATTGTAGCATCCCCATGGTCCCAATGATCAAAATTCAGGCACTTGACAACTGGCATGCATTTATGATGGTTGCATTGTCCCAGGGTCATGTGATCACAATCTGTAACCTTCCCAGCTGGCTTCTGACAAGCAAAGTCAGTGGGGGAGCCAGATTCTTTTAACAACTGCATGATCCCCTTAACTTCAGCAATTTGCTTAACTGTGGCAAAAAAGGTTGTAAAATGGGGCACAATTCACTTAACTATCTTGCTTAATTGTGGTCATACATCAAGGACTACCTATAGCAAGGACTACCTATAGCAAGGATCCCCAACCTCCCCACGGCACTGGTCCATGGAATGCCAACAACTGGGCCACACAAACAAACTAGGCCCCCTCCGATACACAGAAAAATCTTACTCCATGGAACCAGTTCCTGGTGGCCAAAAGGTTGGGGGCCACTGACCTATAGCATTGGTTGCTGTTTTTCCCCTTTTCCCCATAAAGAAAAAAGGAACTTTGTTGTAAGAGTTACAAAGCAAGAGTCCTTTTAACTCCATAAAACACAACATGTCCACATCAACCTCTCCTTCCCTGATTAAGATCTTAATTCATATAGTGTTAAAAAAATACTAACATCATTCATGACATTCAGTTAACTATGCCTAAAAGGCAAGTGGCTATTAAATAGCATTATATTATGTATTTGGCTAATCAACTAAAATAAAATGGGAGGAACAATTCTGTGACAGTTGTTACAGCAATTTTAAACTTCAAGTGAAATACAGAAAAATAGCTGGGGAGAAGATGATAATAGGCATTGTGGTTCATTAATCTATGTGTTGCAAAGTGATAACAGCAAGCAACAATGGTGAAGCAACTGGAACTGAGACTACTAGAACTAGAAAGTAAGGACCTTTGAATTTAGCAGGACTTTAGCAAATGGATGTTCACTATGAGCAGTTTTCCTACGAAGAATTTTAATTACATTGAATAAGGAAAAACCAACCTTTTAAGATCAAACATTGCTTAGTTTTTCATGCCTGAATTCTCTGTTACAGCTCCTTTGCCTAACAGGATTATAAAATAAATCTTTACTATTGCAGCTAGGGAATTGAGGCCAACAAACTATTTCCCAGGACAACCACTGCTGAGCTGAGAGTGGAATACAGCTTCCTAAAGTTATATCTATTGGCATCCAAAAGAGCCCCAATGGCTCACTGACACTAATGATTTATGACTTTAGCAGACTGTGGAATTAAGCCATAAATGGTACTCAGAAATAAATCAAAATTAGTGGCAATGCTTCTTGGTTTGCTCAGCTATATCATTCTGGGCAGCAAATAATAGCTTAAGTCTGCTGTCCAGGCCAGCATGAATAATAGTGATAGAGTGTTGTGCCCCGCAACATCTGGATGGTCACGGCTTGCCCATTCCTTTCCAAGCAAAAAGCATAAATGTTTAGGATCTTGAATTTGTTCCTGCTGAAAAGGTATCAGAGTTGTTTCTATTCATGAGATTCTCCCATCAATGAAAGAAATCCCCCCTTCTTGACTGTCACCACTGCAAATTTGCATTCTAATAATTTATTTCTACTTCTAGTTTTCTGTGCCGTCAGAAATTATATTCTATCGATACAGTAAAAGCTGTAGGAGAAATAAGAAAATGGTTATTCCATGTGAAAACTGCACATTTAAAAAACTAAAAGAGTTGGAAATAACAATGAATTACAGCTCTTGAAAATATAGGAAGAACAAGGAAGCATGATAAAATCTAATCATACTGTTTATTCTCATAATTCTTCTACCTGCATGGAAAATCGCATAGTTTATGGTTAACAATGAGCATATTTGCCCCCAAATAAACCCCTCTGCGTTCAATGAGCACTTAAGAATGCAATTATAAAGTTCTTGATTCTGGTTTGATGATCCCAGCAGATGTGCTATTTATTCCTTTGTTAGTCATAATTTTATGGAACTATAATATTAGGGGGGCAGGGCAGCAGAGGCATTACTCATTCTTCTCTGCAATTTATGCCTACCCAGAAAGAAAACATTCAAATAACTTGCAAGAGCTAAACCTTTATTTGACCACCTTTGCTGAGTGTCTCGTTTTATATGCTCAAAAGTTTAGCACATGCCATTTTTAAAAATGACTATGGGACTGTGCAAATCCCATTTCTGAAGTCAGCAGATATGTCAAAACATTCCAGAAGAGTGATTCCTAACAATACGTTCTTGGCTGTACTTTGAAGAATGAGCATTCTGATGCCCTCTAGATGTTTTGGACCACAAGTGTCCAGATCCCTGGACACAGGCATGGCAACTGGAGTTCATGAAAGTTGAATAATAAAAAAAAACATCTGGAGGACACTTTTGAGACCATCTTGTGCTGGTTTCAGACATGACTCTGACAACTTTGCTTTGAAGGATGAAAGGATGCGCAAGATAAATTGCAGTCTGATATGGAAACTTCTGAGAAGGAGTTCAATCAGCTTATATCTGACCCAAAGGGGGGGGGGGGGAAATGTTGGATGCCCCAAAGTCCAAAAGAAAAAAGATGTGGATAAAGATAGAAAGCCAAAGATGGAAAGTTTGCAGTCAACTAAATCAGCCAAATGGAAACAGTTCAAATCATAACAAGCTGGAACCAGAGTAGGTATAGCTGCAGGAGATGCCCTAACCATATGTATGTCTTGCAAAAATTTAATCAAGTGGCAAGAATTAACAAGTCAAAACTCAGTCTCCATTATTTCAGCTCCTTACAGTTGCCTTTTGAGCTATAGATTCCTTGCTTGGCCTCACTGATTTATGTCTGTATCTCCTGATTTCACCTGCTATGTTTATGCTAACACCCAGCATTCATTCCTGATAATAGATTCCTATGCACTGATTTTGTCTCCCGCTTGCAACTTCCAGCAAAGAGATCTGCTTTGTGCAGAATAGTTTGAAGAAATTGATTTAGATGCAGACATTTTTTTCTATTAGATTGTAAATAAATATTGGACTGATGGGTTGTTGTATAGGCCAAAATAGACAAGGTAGGATTGTACAAATGCATTTAGTATGGAGATCTGTTATTTGGAAAACAAAACTGAGCTGTCCAAGAATTGTGAGAAACCAGAAACCAAAGGAACCAGGTTCCTTTGCTATGTTTTTGATGAAAATTATTATTTTTTCATTAGAAGGGAAGCCTCCACTGTTATTAGCAGAGACTTTTCTTGAAAAATCTAAGGGGAAAAACATGCCCAAATGACAATAGGCTCTAGAACAGAGTAGTGATGTTGATAATGCATTCTGATGGTAATGTGTTCTTTAAATTTATCAGTTTATCAAATATCCAGGGTGTTCTTCATTTCATGAGATGAAATAAACTTTTTTTTGATGATTCTAATGCTTGGATAGATTAAAAAAAAAAGGTGCCCCATGCAGACATTAGGTGGTATTATTGGGTTGTGCTAGACCGTCACGCAGTGTTTCTCAACCTTGACAATTTTAAGGCATGTGGACTTCAACTCCCAGAATTCCAAAGCCAGCAATGCTGGCTGTGGAATTCTGGGAGTTGAAGTCCACATGCCTTAAAATTGTCAAGGTTGAGAAACACTGTGCTAGAGGATGGTACTATTCTTAAATAAATTCTTAGAAGAGACAGAGAAGGGGAATCACTGCTTGCCAGTTTTCCATCACTATATGAGAAAAGTCATATTGGTGATTTTTTTCAGTGCAATTTTTTCACAGGACATATGTTTTCTCAGTGTGTCATCTTTGGTTACTCATTCCAGTACCATACTGTAACTAAATATTTGAGAAAATGCAAAAATAAACATGGCATCAAAAATCGTATCTGTTCCCTTACAAAGTAAACATGATATTGACATGAGGCTACAGAACCATTCCAGTAACTGAATCACTGACGTAGGGCAGAGGCCGAGACCAGGCAGGGGTTTTTTGGAGCAGTTAAATGCATGATTTGTTTCCTGGTTTTCTTCTCATGCATTTCATAATACTTGACTTTAGAACCTCATCAAGTTCTTAATGTGTGCACAACTTAAAACATGCTGGCTGGGAGATTCTGGCAGTTGAGGTCTATGCATCTTCAAGTTGCTGAGGTTTAGAAATACTGTTTTATACTACAGCAGTAAAGGTTCTAAGACCCTCCTCCATGGAAACCCACTGGTATATTTGGGCTAAGTACTCCTTTCAGCTCAATGGACCTCAGAGAGTTCTTGGGGGGAAAATGGAGGTGGAATTGCAGCCAACCTTGAGTTCATGGAAGAAAAGTGGGATTTAATCTAATAAAGAATAATTTATTGAGCTACTATTTCCTTATATAGGAAGGCCCTGAGTTTG